TTTTTTTTTCCAGTAATTTTTTGTGGTTGCGTGCGTTTGTGCGCTTTTCGATTTCCAAAAAAAAATATTATTATTTAAGATTTTTGTCTTTCCTAATCACAAATCCAGAACATCTCGGTTTTCCAGCCAATGAGGATGTGGGCCTGGTCTCTCGTTTGATGTGAAAGAGAGAAACAAGAAACGATCCCCAACACGGTCAAATGTGGGAGAGCCTTAAGAGAACTCGGAGACGAACTTTATAATGTATGTCCTTAAGCTAAGTATGTATCAGAATTGGTCGATAAATTTTGCTACAAGTTAAGTCTTCCAGCGCGCCGGCTTTATGGTACTGTATGGAGCACTAGAGGAAAGATTTAACCTATCTAATTTATACACATAAAGGGGAGGAAAATCTACCTGAGTAAAATGCCACTCTAAATTATCAGCGTCCCAAGTGTCTCCTCCTCCGCCAATCCAAGAAGTCGATTAATACAATCTCAAAAAGATGGGCGTCGCTGGCTTTCTTTGTTGCTACCTCGTCTCATCTTTCGCCATAGTTTCAGCCAGTCCACTCGCTCGGAAATCCCTTGATTCGAGGTCGCCTGTGGTCAGATCTGCCATGGGTGACGTAACTCTCCCAGCTAACTGGAGTTTTTCTGTTTTAATGTACGGAGAAAGTCAGACTTTTCTCATGGACCTGCCCACGGACGGGGCTTGGCATAACTTTGGGAATATCGAGTGTTACGACTCTCCCGCCAACGCATTCGGTGAATGTGACGATATCGCCATCAACGAGATTTGTGTTAACCCAGGATCTGGATTTTGCCAATTCGCCGGCATTGATGGCTACGTCTCTCTTCCATTAGGAGGTGACAACGGGGCAATTTGCGACGTCGTTGGTCCACCTCAAAACATCATAGGTGGATTCTGTGGCTGAACAAAAACACCACGCCGGCACTCAATACATACTCTCCCAAGAGAGGCGCATAGCTAGCCCCGAAGCGCATCATCTACCTCACTTCCCACGTCAGATCACAAATGATCCACCGTCTCAGTCGTACGCTAAACGTTATGTTAAGCCACATTACGAAGGAGTCGATGGTTGTAAACCTAGTGTCCCTGCGCTATCTAGGTCACTACCGTCGGACATGGTAGTTCAGAGCGGGAAGATCCAACCGGTAAAATATCGGCTCAAGGAGGTTAAAATCAGCAATCATCTGCGCCGTTGGGAAAGTCCAGAATGATGTGCAGGGGTCGAATTGCCTAACATGCACGCAGGCAATCGTTAGAACGAGTTTACACTGCGCCAGTCTGCGAGAAAAGTTGGTCGATACCGTTGGTATAGCAACAAAGTTTCTCCTCAATCGCTAGAGCTTTACGGGATTCGGTATGAGCGATGAATGCGGTCAGAGAGGACGGTGGGGCATCTGGAACGATTCCCGCTCTATCTCTGCAAAACGTTGGCTTCCAATTTCCACGGTTCCCCTTGGTTGGCAGCCTCATGTGTCCAGAGTGCCTTGAAATGCTGTAAGCAAAGACAAAGATTGAGGAGGGCGGTGTAGGTATGGATTTCATAATTCCGATCCCCGGCATTTTGGGAGCAAATACGCAGCGGTTTGTCAATCCTTGCTTAGTGCCCTAGGTTGCGTCTTCGCCCAGCTGCTTCTGACCTTGTATGCGTCGAGGAGGAAGGTCGTGAGCATTCGCGAAGTTCTCTCGGTTGAAGGGGAGCACGTCTGGCACAGGAAGGGCCTCCCAGACCACCCACGACGTGAGAGCAGCCGCCGCCGCCTACTCCTTTGGGCCTAATGTGGTGTTCGAGAATGACGTGAATCGCCTTCATGATTGGTTGCGCACCGACGCGGTCCATCGCCGGATTCTGGGAGCCCAGCCGCCGACGGCTTCCAGTTTAGGCAGTTGGGCCGGAAAGTTTAATTGCGAAGAACTGAAGAGCTCGCCTCGCGGACACATTTCAATTAAATCCCATCTCCATCACTGCAAGAAATCGTCCCGTCGGCGGAAAAGATACGGCTCAGACGAACTTAAGCGGCGCCGCAAACCTTGCTCAATGAAGCCCCTGGACCGCCACCAAACCTGGTCGCGGGCGTCCGCCCTTTGGTCACTGTTGACTAAGCAGGATCTGAGCAAGGCTATGCATTCGTCTGTCTGCCCGTGCCTCTCCTCGGGCCAGGTCTGATCGTCTATATACAAAATGCTAGGGAACAGGAAGACCTCTCCTGGGTCCTGCCATGCAGTAGGGCCTCCTGGCACTAATCGATTTCAGGCAATGCCTGGAACGTTGGTGGAACGAGATCTGTCTCATGCGCAACAGTCACTCACGCGCATATTCTGCGGCGTTCACAAACGCCGGGTTATCCTTGCCCATCGATGAAAGCCAGGGGCCGCGAGATTGGCGATATGAACGAGACAACGGCTACGGTGAAAATCCTCCTCTTCATCTGGACAATAACGTCGAACTAACGCTGGGGAAGTAGAGGTTTGATTCTTTTGCGTCATCGGCGATAATGCACCCAATGTATCAACAAATTTGCACTCTGCAATTACCTCCGCGATTGGCTTCCCTGGTATGCGAGCGGCTTACCAATCGAACGCCGGGAAAGGAGAAGGTTGTAGTTGAAGGTCGGGACTGAGAAAAAGCCCACAACTACCAAGTATTGGTGTCGTGGAGGGGGTAGGCTAGATATTCAAGCTGAGATGAAGCCGTGACTGACTCTGGTACAATAGTGACTTAATCCTATTCTTTCTATCTTGAACTCGCCGTCGGTCCAACTGACAATAGTCGTGTGAGCCGGGGGGAGACCCTTTAAGAAGATGGTTGGATGAAACATCAATAATTCCCGAAACTTCGCGGATTCGACCTCTAAATGAGGGACTTGTCGATGTGCAGTCCACCCAATCAGTACAGTTCCTGAATCGATGGACGAGCAATACGAATGCCTCACGGACAGCTCCGCCACAAAAGGACGATCTTATTTCATTCATTCTGCCCACCATCTTGGTCGTCGAGAGTACGAAAATGCTCGACACCGGGGACGGATTGCTCAGTCAGGGAGAGTCACCATATTTCAGAGCCACCCCGGCACGCAGTTTCCAGTTTTATTGATGGCCCTTACTCCGCCCCAACCGCCACAGTGTATCGCAGGTCCATCTTGACAACCAACCGTCCACCCTGCACCCGTATGGCGCTCGAATGGAAGTACGAGACCTTGTCTCCCAATCCTATTACAGTCTTTATCTTTGCCCCTCGCCCGGCGCTCTTTGACTTAGTTCGAGAGGTGATATCTTCGAACGGCGCACGGCCACTTTGGTCAGGGTTCCCCTTGGGGCCACGCGTCGCTCCTACATCCGGAGTTCGATTTTCCTTGTTTTCTTGCTCGGCCTGCTCCTCGGTATCGCATGACTGTGGTTGATGGTCAAACGTGAACTGGCTTGGCTTTGGTGGGATTTGCATATTGGGTGAATCTGCCGCCAAAATTGACCCTGGCGATGATTTCAGAAGGGCGGACCTAGGAGAGCTTAACGATATCTCCAAACTTCGGGGAGGGCATCATGACTCTTACAGGGGCGATTGAATATCGTCAAACGAGCATAGCCCTTGATCAGGAAATCCACCTTCGCGACTCGCCGACAATTGATGTTCGACCTGGCTTGAAGATGACATCTCGAAGAAAAGACTCTTGACGCACTGGCCAAGAAGGAGAAGGAGAAGGAGAAGAGACGCAGTAGTCTTGGTGGCAACCAGGACTGCGTCGGGATTCTAGCAGGTATTTATGTCCCCACGAAGTCTGCAGTGATGTAACGCTATCACCGATTTGCCTCTCTCCAAGTGACTCATTCTGCAAGTGCTCTTCCGATAGTGGGCACTATACGCCTCGGTTGGCCTACAACTAACGCACACGACCGGAAGCTTCTCGATCCCTACTATGCAACAAAGGGAAAAGCACCTGCATTACCCACCAATGCTGCCTGGCGGTTGCCTGCCCTCCCTGGCTTGGGTCCCCCGGGAAATACAGTCAACATGCCAAATCCAGCATAGTAGTCCCTATCGTCGCGACCCTGAGGAAGAAAGCCGTGTCGTGCTCGAACCGAGAGGTAAGAAGCCTCCTCCAAGAATTCAAATCCTCTATCCTACCGACCCGGTGTTGTCGTGGGTGTTGAAGAGAAGTGATATGTATTTGTTATTATGCTCTGAGGTAGGTGCCCGGTCTGACGCGGAGGTCTGACGTGATCTCACGCTGGGTGTCGGCAGCAGAACAGCGGCCATGGTGTGCCTGGCTGTTTCACTGACGAGAATTCAAGCCATCAATGGTCACACCCCTGGACCGTGGTTGATCCTGGGTAAGGGTTCTTGGGGTCTCACACTTCGAGGGGTTTCTCGACCGATGGGTGATCAGGCCGCGTCGCATGGGATATCCGAGAGGGCTCCTTGCCCCTGGATCGCACAGGCATACACGGACCCACCTCGGCGGATGCAAACGTCGTGACTGTCCCATTTTTTGGCACAGAGACATTGGCTAGAGACGTCTAGCTCGCAATGGGTAGCCTCTAGCCTTCAGCTCGAGGCAACGCGCGGGATCAAGGAACAAGGTTCGGGGAGAAAGCACGTTAGATTCCCTCACGCCATCAAGGGTGTTGCATTTTCGTCTAACGGGGGCGAGCGACATCCCCCTTCCCGGGCCCCGTGGGTAAGCCTGTTGCAGGCACACTGCCGCGAATCCCACCAAGGCCGATTAGACCGGGGATTTTATGTGTGGCTGGACGACGCTCATGAAGTCCGTCGAGAGACGGGACAAAGGAGACCGCTCCGGTTCGATCGCAGAAGAGACGTCAATCCTGGGGAGATGCCGTACAGTAACGGATGGCGACTTATTTTGCGTCCGCCGTTTCGGAAGGTCGGGTGAAAAGCGGGGCCATGAACGGTGATGAGCCCCGATATATGAACTCCAAAGTATTATGGTTACAACACCAGAGGTCCCGCAAGCGTCATCTTGTGGATAACCGCCGTTGTTGTTTGATGGGTCCACTAATTATTAAATACATATCCTGAGCTCTAGCAGACAGGCGAATGGATGTGCTTATGAGGACTAGGAGCCCTCGGGGACTCTATCCCGCGTGATGGCAACTCCCCCTCGAGAGGACATCTTTCGGGGTCAAAACCCGTCAAGCAATCATCCCATGTTGACGTACGCCAACGGTAAACAGAGGGAGAGCCAACTGCTCCCCGGGATTTCCACGAAAATCTCCGTTCCTTGAGGGCTGAACCGGAGGACGTCGTCTACATAGCTGTCCGCCTCACGAGCGGGAGTCTACTTCGACCCGACTTTCTACAGGACACAGCCAACTATCCACTGGAAGAGATCCAGAGCCAGAGCCGGGAAATTGACGTCGACCTTACGGAACCCTAAGAAGAGGGTGAAAGCCGGAAGTGCGGATGAAAACCGAGGTAAGAAGTTCGACGGCTTCACCTTTGGCAATAATGATATACTGAACGCTCACGCCTCGACTGCCACATCTGAGCCTATCACGCTACTGACAAAGACCACTTTCGTAGCCATGCGTGTGCCTTTATGAAAAGAGACAAAGAGCGGGCGAAGGAAAAACATAGGGATTTTGGGAGGGCATTAGCTGCGCAAAGTGGGAAGTGATTACAATCCCCATAAGTGGAGTCGTTTTGTCTATTTCAGGGCGTACTGGGCAAAGCGACCCATCTCCTCTCCTGAAGCCTCGACATTTATACAGTCCACCCCCGAGTCCTTCACCGCCTAGCGGCATACCACTGGCCATGCGCAGCGACGATAACAACAGGTTGTCGCTCATACCGTTCCCGCCGTCTCCTCTCCTCTTCATCTCGGACATACAAGCTGCCCTTCCCTCCAGTGTAGACGACCGACCGGGGCCTCTCTCGGTGCTCATACCGAGTTGGGCCAACGCCGCGGTCATCATGGTAGACGGTCCTTTCCCGTCTGTCCCTCCAGCTGGAGTGAGGGATGATCTCAACCACATCGTAGTCGTCGCGGACATACCGTCTTTCCCGCGGTCGCTCTTCAGCGGGGTTCTCTCTCCGTCTCGAGGGCGAGGAAGGAGGAAAAGACTTCTCGACAGCGTCGTGTCTCCTCGTGTTCTCGACGACGACAACCCTCGCCGAGTCCAGCTTCATCCCCTTGTCAAAGGCCTTGATGAGAAGGTTGATGACCTCACAGTCGGCGGGAACACGGACTTGAACCCGTTGGTCATTGGTTTTATCGATGAGGGAAAAGGGCTTTCCGCCTTTGGCATAAGATAGGTAGCGACATCCTTTGCATACGACAGGCCCTTTCTGCATAAGAGTCTGTCCTCTCTGTAGGCGGTGTAGGGGTCGCGACAGTATTGACAGTGGGCCGAGTGTCTGGCGAAATGCTCCATGACGGAGAGCTCGTCGTTGCGTGGCTCCCGACAGGAGATCACCTCGGTCGCAAAGCCGACTTTGCGGGTGCTCTTGTCTCTCTCCATCTCATGGAGTAAGGTCGAGGTGACTTGAGAATGGAAAAAGGGGTAGGAGAGCGACCTACGGAGGTGTTCGATGGGGCTTGGATATGAGTGTGATTCCTATTCGGGGCACGAGTGGCAGCCGTATAGTTGTTAGGTGGAAGTCCGTTTATCTGAAGCGTTTGGCAGCTTAGGGGAATAACGGTAGGCGGCCGGGTGTGGATTTGGCCGCGACTAGACGGGTATCAAAAGAGTAATCTGCTCAGCTCCGGTGTTATGATGAGAGATCCTTTCCCCCCCCCC